AGACGCTCCCTAATCTCTGCAGGTCGTCGTATTGAATACTAGAGGGCACCAGAGCTCTGCTTTTCTGAAAAACAAAAAAGGTACGAGCCCCATCACAGGCATGCGCCTCGGCCACTGCGATAACAAACAAACTGAGCCAACTTTTTTTTAAATTCCTCTTCATTGCGACTGCATAAAAAAGAAGAAAACCAGTCCTGAGGCCAAACAATCAACATAACGATGGATTTTTTTATTATTTTTTACAACCACTCTCCAATAATTTGTCCTGCCTGTTTTTGCTGAGCTGCTGAGTATTCAACACGGGTCTGACGCTCGTTAACGCGCACACCGCCTGCAGCTACCCCCCCCCTACCCCCTCTCTTGCACTCCTCTAACCTCCTTTTATTGCCTCTCCTTATTACCATGAACCTTTGCGCTTGCGACCGGTCCGGATAAAATCAGTTGACGTGAGCGGCTTTATCCCACTATAGCCCTGACAGATCCCCCCAGGATGGAATGATTTCGATGGGGGGGCCTCAATCACGGGGTGACGGATAGGCAGATAACTGAGAAAACTGGCGGGAGACACGCCGGAAAGAGCCAACTGCGCATGCTGTGTGAGGAACCGGACCGAGGGGTAATTGACTCTCTGGAGGTTATTCTTATTTTCGCTGCCCCCGTTAGTCCTAGAATCTGTACCTGAAAGGGTCCCCCACCCACGCGCAAACAGACAATTCCGACTCATTTTAGGCGGCGCCTATCTCGCGAGGCAGAACGGTCAGACTGCGTCATTAGAGCCCAGCAGAGGAGGGCCTTATTATTTTTAATAATCTCCTGTTTTTGCTGCTTCTTAACCTCGGGGGATCTGCAGTCGGCACTTCCCCACTGTGATCAACGGTCACAAATCTGCGTCTCTCTCTTCCTCCTGTGTGCCCAGACCTAAAGCTGCACAGTGTAGGAATTTGGGCGGCACAGTGGCTGTGGTGGTTAGCAACATGGCCTCACAGCAAGAGGGTTCTGGGTTCCAGTCCTCGGGGGAACCAGGAATTTGGACTTGTGTGGGGTTGTGGGTTCTCCCGGGGTTCTCCGGCTTCCTCCCACCATCCAAAAACCTGCATGTTAGGTTGATTGGACATTCCAAATAGCCCCTGGGAGTGAGTGTGAGTGGTAATATGTCCTTGCGTGTCTCTGCAATGGACTGGTGGACCGTCCAGGGTCTCGTCCATTGACCACTGGACGGATGGTGTTGGAATCTTTCCCATCTAATGCTGATTCTAACAATTTGTGCTCTCTTGTGCCTCGCCCTTTCAAACGGGTATCGCAACCGTTAGCATGCATCAAGAAGTAATGACAACATGACTTCTACATCATCGAGTTTTCTCTCTAGTGATGAGGTTTGTAATTTAAAAGAAATTACATTCATTAGTGTGAGCATGTAATTAGTCCTCGAACAATAGGGCGAAGTTTCAGTCACGTGACTCGGGCTCTGAATCAAAACGCATCGTGGATTAGCTAGACTGGCAGACTAGTGCTTTATGTCCCCCTCGCGATTATGGCTTTTCAAAATGGCGGATCAACATGGAAACCTCCATGGACTTACCCGTCCTGTGTACATAAAGATAGGAAATTCTTCGTTTACAGGAAGTCAGATTATTGCAGAGGTCATTTTACACCAAAGGAGGACACAAAATTATTTAGCTAATAAAATATTTAAAATACTACACAATGTCCCCTTAACGATGCGCAGTCGTGCAGGGTGACCTCCAGGCTGCGGGATGCTCTCCTCGCGTCTGCGTTGCCGTTATCATTTAAAAGCAAAAAAGTTGTCACCATCTTTTGTCCCTCGACAAAAAACAACTGAGAAGTTTTGCAAAGATTTATCCAGTCGGAGCGGCTCCATTGTGCCTCCGACAACGCTCCAGTGTATTGTCAGGCGCATGATTACTTGGAAACAAGAGTATGGCACTTAAAAAGTCAATCATCCTTTCCAAGCGGCGCTCATCACAGCCTCTACTGGACCGTCAAGTTCCGCCTCGCGCTCTTAAGCTCTCACAAGTGACTTCAGAAGCGAACAGCTAAAAGAGAATCGGGCTGGTTTATTTGCTGAAGACGGGGAGAAAGCTTATTTAGGAGGTTCTCTGAACTTTTTTTCTCTCCTCATAATCTAGGTTAGGACAAGAGAAACAAAGTCGCTGTGAGTTAGAGCCCCGCTTATCCTCATCAAATTTCAATGTGTTGTCTCAGAAAAGTCATTGGGTTTTTATCCCAGAAGATTTTTTTCTCAGAACCCGGGCTCAAAGAAGATAAGGGGAGTAGGAAAAATGTGTTTTTTTGCTAAAGGTTTTTCTGCCGCAGTTATGAAACTGTGTTCATTTCAACTTGGCATGAGGCAGCAATAGCGAGAAACAGAGAAGACATTATCAGATAATAAAATAGGTCCCGCTGGCCGTGTGAGGTTTGAAAAAAAAAGAGTCCACAAGGAATACACGTCTGTGAAAAATTAAATAGTCAGAGAACAAAAGAAGAGATTGGAAAAAATGGTGTACAGCGCATTCTGCTTGTCATTTCTTATCTGTCCACTGTCAAACATAAAGTTTTACCACCTATTTTTGCACCTTTCAGGTCTCATCTTTTAGTTCCAAGATGCCATTTTATGTGTCTCTGTGGTGTCTGATAAAGGTCGGTTCATCTCTCCCGTTGTTAATCTGATGTTTATGTTTATGCATTCAGCAGACGCTTTTATCCAAAGCTACTTACAAAGTAGACGCAATGTTTCAGTTATTATCAATCTGACAATAAGCTCTCTAGAGGAAAATCCCTAGTCAGTCAGTGGTGACAGCAAAGAGAGAGGGAAGCAGTAGAGAGGTAGAGGGGGTATAGAGGTATGGGGAAGGGGTGGGTCTTTAGGACTTTTCTGAAGATAGACGGGGACGTTTTTCTTGTGGCTCATGGTAGGTCATTCCACCATCTTGAAACAGCAAAAGAAAACAGTCTGGATTATCTTAAGCGTGGAGTAGGCTCTGCTAGACCACAACCCACTGATGACCGGAGAGATCAAGTTGTGACACAAGCCTTTGAAAGAGGGTTCCAGTAGACGGGAGCCGTACCCTTCAGCACTTCGTAGGCCGGCATCAGGGACTAGGATTTGATGCAGGCAGCCAGGGGTAACCAGTGGATGTCCATTTGGATCATTTTGCACCTTAAATGTATTGATTTTTTTTCACCTTCTTCTGCCCTTTTTGGTACAACCTTAGTTGTTTTGCAACTGCGTGCTGAACGTATCCTATTTCATTTTTTTACATTTCAACCGGAAAAGAACCGAAATGTCAACAATCCATTCGTCACGGATGAATCTGAGTAAAAAAAAAGAAATTGAGAGGCAACAATATCAGGTGAAGACAAATCAATGAGGATCACGGGGAGAATGAAAGTGAACATCAAAGCGACAAATATAAAGCAAAGTGTCGGCCTTTAGAAAACCAAGCTGAAAAGAAGGGATAAAGGGAGGACTCACAGAAAACACAACAGGCAAAAAGCAAATTAAAAGTGAGAATAAAATCAAACGCATACAGAAATTTCAAAAGCTCCAAAAAAAACAAAAAAGCAAAAAACAAACCTAACAAAACTTCATACGTAGCAGACAAAAAAAAAGACTCCAGAAATAAGTCAACTGTTTTTGAAAGAAAAAAAATCTATAGAGATGCATAAATCATGAGTCTTTGTAGTCATTTTGTTTCACAAAATGTGCTTTCATCGGGTCAAATTTAATCTGTCGGATAAGACCAGGGGCCCACTCTGGCTCTTCTGATCTGTGCTCTTCACCAGTGACACCGTCAGGAAAAAGAAGAAAGAAAGCATGGAGTTAACTGTACATTTCTGCAACATTTATTTACATCAAATGTCAGAATACAGTGTTACTCTTCACAGAAGACCATTAAAACCAAACAAACAAACCAAAAAAACACAAGAGAGGAAAATAATCACCATGGACGTCCATTGGATGCTGCCCGGCAACTTTTTACACAACAAATAAAAGGCTGTGAAATGTCTGATTAGGATTTATTTTCTTTTTTCTCTGAAGGGATTCATTCTGTCCACGGTACCTTTACTCGGTTTTAAAGTCAGTATTGTACAACATTAGAATGATATTTGGGGAAAGCAGGGTTTAAAAAAATCAAGTGTAGAAACCATCTAATTTGATCAGATCATCCCAAAGTATTCAACTGATCATCAGCATAGTTCTAAAATATAAATTTTTTCTTCAGATATTTGGACTAGAGGAGTGGTCACATGAAGTAATGATAATTCAGGCACATGTTTAGTGCTTTTTGAGAGGTCCAAACCTAAGTGAGGATCGGTAAAAATTACTGTGACGCTGTAGCTCCAGTACAAATGTATTTGTGTTTCTATGCTGTTCTTATTCTGCTCTATGTAATCTAAACATTATTAATGACTATATTTAAGCTCCGAGACAGTTTAATATTTCATTTCACACAGGGATATACGCAATATTAATGTGTTTTGAATGTCTAGAGTCAGCTCAGTTTTATGATCGGGGGCTGAATAAGCGATTAATCGTGTGGCTTTTTTTTTTTTCTCCGAGCACCACTTCAGCATCTTTTTCATCCCCTGTTGATGAGTGTCAATAAATCCGGTGTGGCAGTGAATTAAAAGCAGAAAAACTGACTGGGTCAGGTATCGCGAGCAACTTCGGAAACCTTCTTATTCGGCCCTCGGTTTAAATCCAAGTGTAGCCGTCAATTGAAAAGTTAAAAAAAAAAAATATCGAAGTACAGCAAAGGGATTCAGAGGAGAAAGTGATCGATGGGAGAACAAGGAAATGCACAGATGTGTTTTCTGAGCAACAATAGCAACGGCCTCAACGAGAAGTAAGAGCAACGGCGCTGCTTCAAGCCACAAATCAAAGGACCACGAAACCAAAGCCAAATAGTACTAGAATTTCTCCCAGCCATTAATTCATCATGTAAAACAACCCCCCCCATCACAAAAGACTCCACGAAAACAAGTCAGTAGCTACTCCGACTGTTCCCGGGGTTTGCACACTCCCGGCATCGTCCTGGCCCGGATCTTCTCCAGATCAGACCAGTTCTTCCTGACGTCGATGGAGCCTAGCTAACATTTAAAAAAAATAAGAGGTTTCAGGCCTGTGTGGACACATTTGTACTTTTTCTTGGCAGCTTCTGTCTCTCGGCTAAAAGCACGTGGACCCCCCGATACGACCGCCCGCACAATTTTGAGCCATCAGCACTACGTTTCAGCCCTCCAGATTCAGGCCTTACACTGGATTACTGAGCCCCGCGTTGACAAGAAACTTTAGTACGGAGACCCCAAAGTAACAAGGCAATTAAAAACTTTATTTTTTGCATTCCCACTTTTGCATTTCCACGCAATACTTTTGCGTGCTCTCGCGATAAGTTCTGCGTCCCCTCGCTATAGGATTTGCGTTGTCACACAATATTGGCGACAGTTCTCAAAATGAAACCTTACAAACTTCTCCAAAGGGTCTGGGTGCTCCATTGTGTCCAGGCTAACGCAAGCTAACAAGTGGGCTCAACATCCTGCACGATTATGCGCTAGCAAAACTTATTGCGAGGGCACGCAAAAGAATGCAAAAGAAAAGAAAAAAAAGCTACTCCGTACTTTAGGAAGGCGAGCCAAACTTAGTGTGAGCGCAAGCAAACGTTTTGCGAGGGGGGGACGTGAACGAAGGAACGCAAAAAAAAACAAAAAACTGCGATGTTACTTTGGGGGCTCCGTACTTTTTTGATGTTGGTGGGCGAATATTCCAATCCCGATGCTGCCGACTGCCTCCGATTAGGTATATGAGCGCTAAACTATCATTGTTTCCTAAGATTAGTTAACGGGCAATAGCCTACCAATACTATGCTGATATTCTTTCGGCGTGAATTAGATAAGTGGATAAATATATCACATCCTCCCATCTGTCCAGCGAACAAAAAAACCCTTTATGGCACGATAACAGGAAACCGGTGGGGAATCAGTCCGAGTTACGGGATTGGAAAGCCTCGATCTAGTTTGGGTCGGGGCCTTGAGACGGGATAAGACGTCTACGCCGGGGGAAGGAGCGCCAGAGCCCACAGGAGGAGCAGAGGAGGGGGCCGGCTCCAGGCGGCCGCCGAGGGCACGGGGCGTTTCCTTTTGGGGCCGTTGCAGAGCGGGGTGTTGCAGCAGGTGATGCAGACCGAGTTCAGCTTGCCGGTGCAGAACTGCTGGTAGCCTGAGGAGGCGATGAGGCAGGCCCCGGAGGAGGCGCAGGACTTCCGATAGTGGATCCCTGAAAGAGAGACGAAAGGGCCCCGAGACCGAGCCCGTAAAGCACCAGTCCCGCACGTCCGCCGATCCATTCCGCCCGCCCGTAATTAGATTGCCGAGATTGAACATGTAACTTTTAAAACGAGTCCTTTGTTTTGCCGGGCTCCAGCATTTTATTGCACTCTTTGAATTATGGAGCCATCGACTTCCTGTCTGCTCTTATTAACCGATATTTGTCAGAGCTTTATATAAAACATTTGTATTAAAACAACAACAAAAAAAAGTGATTTCGTATTGCACTCTAGAGCCACTCGCTCCATTATCAAGCGAGGCTTCTCCATGTTGTTTGTTGCACATTTCTATTGCAAGAACATGGTGTCTTTTTCTTTTATGCTCCATCCATCTTCTGTTATTTCTCCTGTGTCTTTCTTTTGGCAGCAAATTAAGTTTCCCCTGGCTGGGTAAAAAAAAAAATGTTTTGATTAAATCTAATTCAGATTAATTGAATCTTTCAAGCGGACGCATCCAGTATCTATGAAAGTTTGTGCTAGACAAATATCTATAGCTGGGCATTTGTGTGGAGGATGGAAAGACAGCACATTGCTAGATTTCAAAAGTATTGTACTTTCTCTGCTGGTAAACTCCTTTCCTTTTTCCCCAAAGGTACCACACACAGCTATTGTTCCAGGAGCCAAACATATAAACCTACAATTACAAAAGACAGTTGAACCAACAAGCCAGCAGCTGTTTTTAAAAAAAATTATTTCCCACATATTTTTCACCCTATAGCTGATATGTAATGCTTTCAAAAAGAAGTTCATTTTAAAAAGTTGAAAAATCACAGAAAATGAACTAATTCACTGAAAATCAAAGCAGACTGTGTTAACCTCTCCTGCGGGAGCCAGAAGTCCAGAAATGAACATTTTTTATAAAAGTATTCAGGGAGAGGTGACCTCTGGGTTCTTTGATGTGAAATATTAGAAAATTGACATTTAACAAATGACAAATATGCAAACATAACAATTATTAGAGATATTTTTTAGATCTAAAAAACAACAACCTTCAAGATGCCGATGCGATGGCAAAATCTTACCATCAGGTTTAACCAGCACCTCCTTCTGACACATGTCCTGAACGTTGACCGTGCAGTTGACGATATACTCCGGCGTGGAGCAGTCGTTTTGTTTCATCTCCTCGCACTGGTAACACTGAATCTGAAGGGCACCTCCTGTACCACGAAAAAAAAAGAAAAAAAAAGGAGGGAGGGGGTAAACAAAAATATCCAACTTACAGTTTTTGCATCGTGTTGCGTTTCAAGCCATCTTTTGTTATCCGCAAGGGATCCATCAAATTCGACGGGGTTGAACCAAACCCTGCGAACGCTCAACCTTCAACGATCCTTCCCAGAAAAAGATTCTCAAATCCAAGAGCTCACTATTTTGAGATTACTCTATGCCAATCTCCGAAACCATCCGAATAAAGCACTTGGTAGGGTGAATAGCTTTTCTCTGTTAGCTGATGGAGCCCACATGCATACAATGACCCGCAATGCACAAAATGTTTGAAATTTGAGTGTATTTTGGCATCTTCTATCTCATCTCATATGATTTGCTGGAATCCTCAATGACAAAAAACAACAACCAGAGCAAAGAAACTTGTCTAAATGATGTAAACCACTGCAAATTTGACCCCAGGGGGAAGTTTGGCAGCCAAGCCGGAGCACAGCAGAGAGGGAGGGAGACACTAATTATATAGCTTCCCTTCCCAGTAGTATCAGTTTAATTTAAAACCATAAAAATAATTTTCGAGAAGTCCTTGCCTCATAATATTCAAATTACAAACTTTGGTTACACAGGTTTCTTTAGCTTAGTTGGTATGATAGGATGAAACATCTGGCTATATATACTGTATCAAAAGCTGATGTAATTGAATCAAACTAGCCTGATGCTTGGTCACTGTTTGGAAATCATGGACAGTCAAAGAAAGAGGATTCCCACGTGGATTATTTTTTATTTCAAAAGGAATATACATTTATTTTGTTGCACTTAATTACCAATGTTTTATTCAAATTGCGATTGGTTGGGGAAACAGTCCGTTTTGACATACGTTGCCCTTTGCAGTTATATTTTCAGAGCATATCTTTATCATTTAAGAATCCCCAAAGATCTGTGTGCTATCAGTCAGCTTTTCTTCCACCCCAGAGCTGGGCAGTGAGCAGTTTTTATCATTTTCTTTGCTTTAAACCCTCTAATGGTAAACAAGCCTCGAATAGAGGCCCCCCCCCCCGACAAAAGCGTGATGTCATCTTCCATCTTCTGCAGTGATTTGACACTACGCCTGCCAGCAGAAATGAGGGGGCCCCGGCGTCCTGACTTTACGCGGAACATCATCTCCGCAGCTTTTTCAGCTCGTTTTACGGCGTCTCTACAGCGTCCACGGGGGGGGGGTTCTGAATTCACACAGCGGGCTGCGGTGAAGTCATCAAAACACGCCGGCAAAGTCCAGAACGGCTCTTTTCCAGTCACTTCTAGCCTGAGCGTTTAGGGCTGATAACGCTGCGTTTACAGCACAACAGATGGTGGGCGGAATGACCTGTGGGCGTCCCTGAGGTAGTAAAACTACAAATATACCGTCAACATCTTAATGTTCAGGTATGGCTTTCAGGCGTCTTGATTCTCTCAGTGCTTTTGGAATCAGCTTTTCTTACTAACAGGGACCCTGATTGTGATGTCAGCTGTGTAAGCCCTGCAAAAAGGGCAGGACACCTGCTGAAAGCAGAGCGAGACCTCCACAATGAGGGGAAAAAGTGAAGGCCAAACATAAAAGATGTGACTAAAATGGCTAAAGAGGGCCGTCGCAGGCCTGTTTAAGCTGTGAAAACCTCATTGTCAATATCAGACAACCGACGCGGCATCCAAGACTGAAAGCCTGTCGTTTCTCCCCTCAAACATCCCGGTCCGGCCATCAGTCAGCACAGACAGATATTACTGGCGTAATTATTAAGGTGGCAAGAATCATTAATCTAAAGTAAAACGGCGGCAACTGATAAAGGTCCACCCATCTCCCCAGCGTCCACGCCAATTAATCTAAACCAAACACATACCTGAACCTCCATCCATCATCGGGGAAGGAGACCAAGCAAACCCAGAAACTCTGGTTCTAACTGGAGCAACATCCTAACCCCCCGAGCTCAGCTTATCTCCTGGAGAAAAGCGCTCTACGTACTTTCATTACATCCACAAGAATGAGAGTTTGATATAAGAAAAATCTGAGAAAAACAGGATTAGATTTTTTTGTCATGACTGAGCCATGATTAGGAGGAAAAAAAGATCAAATGACCAAGTATCAAAACAATTGTTGAGAAGAAAATTAAACCAATAAAAGCAAGCAGATAAGAGATGGAATTCGAAATTGGAAAAAATGGGGTTTAAGGGAGTGGAAGCAGCTTATGGGACTGCTTAAAGATAAGATATAATTAGGCTTAAACACTGAAAACAACCTCTGCCTTCCGTTTTAATTGCTTGGGAATAAAGTTTGATTGTTTTATCCACTTTGGGACGTTGCGTCATGTGAATAAAGGATTCGAGTATGAGCAGTACATCTGCCACCCAAAGCTCCACCAGCAATTTCAACACTCTTTCCATCTCCCTAATGATATTTTTAATTAATAATTTAAAATATAATTTTTAAAAAGCCCTCCGCGGTGGCCCGAAACCGGGATGCAGCAACCTACCTGCGTCGAGAATGACTCCGAAAAAAGCCGCGAAAACGAGCAGACGCATCCTCTCCAAAGTGACGCCCGGAGGAAGAACATCAGACCGAGAGCTCAGAAGAAAAAAGAGGAGGAGGAGGACGACGAGGAGGATGAAGAAGAAGAGGAGGAGGAGGCTCGGGGGAGGTGAAGGAGAACCCGCCGCGCAGCCAGCCCAGACGTGGACCTCCTCATCCTCTCGACTGAGGTGAGAGCTCCGCAAAGTGGGAGTGTGCGCGCGCCGCCGCCACGGGAGACCACAAGAACAACCGCGCGAGCGCCCAAATCGTTAATCGTCACCACGTGACGTGGGCTCGCGCTTTCTTGTCTCCAGCTGTCCTTGTTCGCTAATGTTAAAAGAGAATATTAATTCTTTGACAGTCCTATATTTCAAATTGTTTAACCGTGTCGACTTTTTTTAAAAACTTGGGTCTTAATTGGACGATCAGACACGCCGCCGTAAAGGAGCTACACTATAAATAACCCCTTTTCTGCGGGTTTTAAGATCTTCGTCTGAAGTCGTGTCGGCGTCACGTTGATTCCCCATCGTTAATACACCTGCTTTTGCCCTCTTTCATCACAAATACAAGAGCGATTTTCATTCAATACCACAAAGCAAATATCACAATCCCAACATCAATTCTACTTTAAACTAAATCTACTTCTTCAATCCTCCCAACAAATAAAAAGTCTTCCAGGCGTGAGCAAACTTAATTGCTAACCAGGGGACTAATTACGCTTACGAATCCCTCCGCGCCGACGGTGAAGCGTCTCCCACCACCCGATGGCGAGTGGGACGCCAGAAACATATCGTCCCCTTTTTCTCTCGAAAAAGAAAAAAGAAAAAGAAAAACTGGTCATTATGCGAGCACCAGGTTCGCTTGCACCTCCCCGGGTCGGTTTGTATGTGAAAAAAAGAAGAGGCAAACACAAAGACTCGCACAGCCCGCGGCTCAGCTGGAAATAGGAAATAATTTCTCATATTTATTTAGGAAATAATTACATAAAATATAGCATTAAAGTCTACTGTAACAGACAAAAATTGCACGCAGTAATAATAGTAGCAGTAATGTTAATAATAATTACCAAAGTAACACTGCTGGTAACCATTTCTCTTTACAAAGGACCCAGGTACATTTAAGGAAAGAGGTGAAGCATGACAATCACACTATGAAGAGTCTGACAGTACAAAATATGGGTATAAATACTGGACATCTAGAAAAATACACAAGTCCTCTTCACACGCTTTTTCGTACAGTATTAACAGTTTCATAGAAAAACAATTGAAACACACAGTTGGCTCTGTTGATTAGCACCAGCTGGTCAAATTCCGCATAGAAATTTGGCGCCATTCCACCTAAAGTTCAAATACGTATTTCAAATAAAGTGATAAAATAGTATCGCATTAGCTCTTATCGATCAAAATAAAGATTTAATTTAAACAAGAACCACCCCCCCCTAAAGAATTCCTTTCGGAAAGAAACGTGCTATTTTCAAACAGTAGACTTAAAACCTTGGTTGAATGATTGGCAAACATTTACATCTTTATTCTTTTTTGCCCCACTCCTTTAAAAAAAAAACACAACTTTATTTGCATATATATTGATCAGCAATGCCCCATTCTGATATTAACTTATAGCAATCTTTATTTACAACATAATATACAACTATGAGAAGAAAAGTGAGGTTCGGAAAGGTCTGGTTTGCTGCAATGCTACATGACACTGAGAGCTAGACTGTTGGGATTCTGAAGATTTTTTTCTGAACATGAAGTCACAAGAGAAAAAGAAACAGAAATCTCGAGCATTGTTTCCAAGTGTCCTGATTGGTGCGCTTTTAATATTTTTACAATCTTCACCAGTCCAGTATGTTCCCTGAGCTACTGGCAATGAGAGTGGGCGCCTTGAGGCCAAACAGCCGGTGGTTGGTTGTAATCCTGTCGTTTGGATTCCTAAAACCTAACCCCCGTCTCACAGCAACGTAAAAAATATCCACAATGCGACATGTACTTTTCTCCGCTCCGAAATCGTCCATACTATCTTTTTGTTCGTGACACCCCGACAAAACTTGAAGCTTGAGTTCATTTGTTTGCGTGAAACTGGTACTTTTGAGGTGGCGGACGTTGCAGAGGCTGAAAATACAGTTGCTGTTTTGCAAAAAAAAAATTAAGTCAAGCGAAAGGTAGCGTTGATGGTGTGTAGGGTCCCTAAACCGAGTACGATGTGAGAAATTTAGAATATAAAACCTTAAAAGTGAGCTGAATCCACAAAAGACAGCTTTTTTATTGCAGTTTGTATATGCGCACATCGCACAGACGCAGAAAAACGCAAAGCGGACCCGATAAACACTCAAAAGTGCCATTAGCAGGAAGTGTATTTTAAGCTTCAAACCTAACCAAGTAGCTCTTGATGCCTAAACCTAACCAAATATAAAAAAACTAGCGTGAAGTCTTGTTTTTGTTCTGTCAGTTCCAGGCCACTTAGGCAAACTTTTTTTAGTCTTAAAGGTAAATTGAACCCGGCGTGGCAGGATTTTGTGCACTTTTAAAACGCTTTAGGACGATTGGCTCAATGTCCTGCTCTACTTGCGATGAACCATTATAAAAACAAATAAATAAAAAAAAGACACTTCAAACAAGTGAAAATTGTTTGAAAATTCTTCCAAAGCTGCAGTAAAAAAAAGAACGAAAAAAAAAACAGCAGAAAAAAAATGCAAACCCAGGCAGTTTTTGGGGGCATTGCACTTTGTAGAAATATATAAATTTGCACCTTTTCTTTAAATGGAGGTTTAAAAAACAAAAAACAAAAAAAGAATCAGCTGCTGCTGAACCTCAGTGTCTAATCACTGCTTAAATAATCATTGCCTTTATAGTCCCTACAAACTTTGTACAGTATTTGTTGTTAATGTGATAAGAGGTACCCGTGTGATGGCCTGAGGATAACCTAAAGATATCATGGAAACAAGGTTGCCTCCATGCCGTTATTCTTCTCCAGTCCATCACACCCAGGATCAGACTTTTAAAACTCCTGGTTTGGATTGAGGCTTTGTTTTAAAATATCCTTGTTGCTTCAGCCTATCTTAACGAAGTGCTTTGTATTGCATGACTTACAGGGCTCTTACTATTGTGGCAATGGAGTTTGGATTTCCACAAATAGCTTAGCCCGCGCCACGGAAAGTTCCGTATTTTAACGAAAGCACGGTGTAAAGTTTCTCTGCGAATGCTCTCACAACAGGGAGCGTTTTGCTTGATAAAACACGAGTTCTGGTGAGGAGGTTGGAGGGGCAGGCCGTGGAATAAGTAGCGAGCTCTTTGAATGGGAAAAAGAGTCGCCCTCCAGTGTTTTTTCCACTTTTTTTTCAGATCTCACATTACTCCTCTTTTCCAAGCCCATCCGTCAGACCAATACATAGTTTCTAGTTCCATCTGGCTAAATTTAAGCATCAAAATAACTGGATTCAATGTACTTTGGTAGGTTTAAGTGGTCTGGCCTAAAATATAGATTTCCATAACCCCTGCATGTTTCTTTTAATGACTGAGGTTAAATAGGGATTTTTCAGAGGAGAACGGGACCACCTCAGACAACGAACGGGCTGACAAATCCGACTCAAAAGACAAAAAGAAAAACAAAAGGTGTTTTTTAAGAGCCACAAGAGGTCTACCTGAAAATCCTCATCACGGGCCGAACGTACCCTTATACATCCAACCCACGTGTTCACCGAACGTCAGACAGAAAATAAGAACAAAGCCGATAATGGCTGAGAACAGAAGCGGTGGGATTCCGAGTGGGCTTTGGAAAACCGGAGCCCGGGAAGAAACGGCTCATACGGCTCACACGCCGTTGGAGCCTTGACTGGTGCAGGAGGAGAAGCTGTCGTACAGCGAGTCGCTGAGGGAGCCTGCCGGGTCCGCCCCGGGCCTGCCCGCCAAGCCGGAGCAGGCGGGGGGGGGCTCGCCTCTGGGCGCCCCCGGATCGGCGCACGCATACGGGCCGCCGTTGTTCAGCCTGTTCAGGGACTCCAGCGAGATGTCCAGGGAAGCTGCCAGGCCGCCGGGACCCAGGGGCGCCTTTTCCATGGCCATCTCCTTCTGCAGATAGGGGGACGAGGGAAGAAAAAGGAGCTTATATCGACAGGGAGACGAAAATGTGGGAATATTTTAGCAGAGAGGAAAGAGCTGCAGCGTCTCCCCTTGCAATAACCGTTTGATGTCACTGTAAACAGATGCCAGCCACCCCGCATTTGCAAACAGCGAGTTTATCCCCCCCCCCTCACCCCCGGTGTAGTGTTGTCCTTCAAAGCAATAAGACTTGCCGGAT